TATTTTATGATGTAATGTATTTTGCAAATCTTGTTTGAAAACTTAAAGTGTTATAAATACTAGCTAGTACTAGTATTTTGAAGGATTTGTTTTTCTTTTCTTTTTTCTAGTGAAGAGGACTGCAAGAGTGAAGAGGGCTAGGGCTAAAGGCTTGGTGGGGGGGATGGAAAACAAAGAAATAGAAGAGAGTAATTGAAGCATTTTTTTCAAAAATGCAGAGAAGAGCGCAGAAGGAAGGCCAAACAGAAGTACAGAGTAGGAGAATTTTAAAAGCTATATACTGAACTTATTTTACACTTATAAAAGAAAAGCAAGCTGTAATGATAGATCTGATGTTTTATGTATGATCATCTTTCTCAGTTCCACTATGTATGTAGGAATAGCAATTTTATTTGCAGTTCAAGTACAAAAAATAAATGAACAAATTAATAAATTGAAAAACAAGGCTTACTTCCTCCTCCCATGGCATGTTCCCTCACTGAGCTTCCATAGGCTTCTGACCAGCTTATGCTTTTTGGACTGGATAGAGGATATTTCTAATATTTCCTTTCATCTCCTTGATCATATGGCACCCTTTTAAATCGTTACTGAGGTATCTGGGGCAGAGTTGGGCTACTCAAATCATCATATTATCCATAGTTTTTAAAAGGATTTCTCTTTTTACTTATAAGTTTTTAAAATAAGTTTATTGATATCTTTTTTTAACATTACCATAATTCTCTAGATTGCTTACACTGAGTAGTCTTGCCCAGCAAATCCACCAACTGGAGAATTAGAACTGAATTAACATAAATGTCAAGACCTAACAAAAGGAGGTCAATAAGGAGGGAAGAGAGAGCTATAAATAATAAGTCTAGATTTCCTATAGTTAACTTGCAGAATAAGAATTTAATTCAAAGAAATATTTATGTTTTTACCTTCCCCTTTAATTTATTACTGTATTTTCCTGAATGTGCTTCCTCTGTAGTGTATCATAGAAAACCTTAAACTAGACTAAATAGTTGTATTCTATTTTCAAGGGAAAAAAAAGAAGAAACAAAAATGTCCGTGTCAAAAGAGAGTGTAATAGTACCCTGCAAAGTGCCCCACATATTTCTACGTGTCTTTGGGCAAGTCACTTAACCTCCTCAGGCTTTAGTTAAATCATTGGACTTAATGACTTCTGAAGTCCCTTCCAGCTCAAGATCTATGATCCCCTGATTCTCTGTCACCTAGAAAGAAGAGGGGGGCCAGAGCACCTTGCAGAATCCCATGTAGTGGCAGTGAATATTCAATAATAGTTATCTTGTACCTTCCTGCTAGAAAAATGCCCTCCAATAAATCATACAATCTAACTGGATGACAAGGGTGGTATTGAGGATGTACAAAAGATTGGATAGGTCAATTCAGATTAATTCATGGAAGACCTTTATGCCAAACAGAGGCATGGAATTAAAGGGCTTAAATGCCTAACTGAAGAGTTGAGTAAGACACATAATTATATGGGACTTTTATACATATGTGATAGCCCCTTCTGAGCTACTCCCCCAGTTTAGACTTCCACTTTAGTGATGGATTCTCAAAGGGCAGCTCTTGCCTCAGGTTCTAGGGATCATCCTTTGTTGCTTCACCCCAACACTGACTCTCAATCATTCACAGGATATTTCCTATTCAAAGTCAGTTACCTTCAGCCAAAGGCACCCTTAATCCTTTGAAATTAATTGAGGACCTGTTCGCACACTTGTGGTGTTGTTACAGGAAAATTGCTTAATATCTCCTTTATGATTACACTCAATATACACAAAACATATCCTTTGTGGTTACACTCAGTGATTACACTAATTTGAGATGGAAGGGAAACTTTCTCCCTTATACATGTGTAAGAGAGGTTGATGATGAAGCTCCCTTATCAGTCTGATGAGATTTCCAGGAGGCAAGGAAACTTAGACTGTCTATACCTCTCTATATAAAGTTTGATCATTCCTATCCACAAGTTGTTAAGAAGAGGAAAGATAATTCCTGATTAAGTCTCAGTGAAAATCACTTCTGAGTCACTGCACTTCCTGCATTTTCTGTGAGGTGAAATAAAGGCTGTCATCTGCTCAACATATATTTATTAAATTATGTGAAAGCTAAGATATGACAGAGTAAATTAGAGGTAGGAACATAATGAGCCAAATAGTATATGACCTTTTAGAGGTCAGCATCTAAAATTGGGCCTCATTATTATAAGTTCAGAGTCTGGGTGACCTGAGTCACCAATTAGGCTCTCTTTTGCAGTAAAGTACCAAAATAGATTTTGGGAACGTCAACAGATTATATCTATCTATTTATCTATATGTGCATATATATATATATATTTGGGAATGTCAACAGATTATATTTATCTATCTATATGTGTATATAATACACACACACACACACACATATATATGTACACATATATATACACATATATATGTGTGTGTGTGTGTGTGTGTGTGTGTGTGTGTGGATCAGGTGAGTGAGCTCTTTTAATTGGATGTTTCTGTCTTTTTTCCCCTATGTTTGGAGATTCAAACAATGTAGGGGAAAAAACTCCTATTTCTCACAGTATCTAGTCTTGCTTTGGCCAAACTGAAGGCTCTCTCCAGAAATTGCAAGGGAAATGGAGATTGACATGGTGTAATCACTCAGTTAGCATTTGGTGGGAACATTATGCCCAACTACTCTATTCCCCAGGGGAAATAACCAGTGAGTTATTTATGGATGTAAGTGCAGGTGCTCAGTTTTCTCTCAGCGAAAAGCTAGCAGGTTCAGCAATTTCCTGTCTCTTGCCTCCCTGGCAGGGCACTGATTGGCCTGATACTGGAAAAAGAAAGGGCCACCCACTGAATAAGCTGTTCTCTTTGCTCATTTGTGAGCAAAGGGTGCAAGTGGGGCCTTACTTCGCATGAATACAAGGTGAGTCACCAGCTAACCTATCAAAATTCTCCATCTTCCACCAGGAATGTATTGAGATGTTGGAGAGAATACCAGTAAAAACTGAAGGAATTTGTCATCTTTCAGGGCTGTGTTATGGTTATAGGGGAAAGCTTTTGCTTGTCTTTGAATCACAGGATTTTGGAACCAGAAGGAGCCTCAAATTCAATAAATGTTTACCAAGTTCTCATGACGTACAAAACAGTAAGGATTTTTTTATCTCCATCTCTGATTTTATCAGTGTAGAGTGGTAACAAAGGATATTAATCTGTGTTCCATGAACTTTTAAAAAAACATATTTTGGTACGTATATTTCAATATAATTGCCTTCCTTTGTAATTCTATATATTTCATTTTATGCATTTTAAAGCATTATTCTGAGAAAAGATCCAAAGACTTCACTAAATAGTCAAGAGAGTCCAAGACACAAAAAGGTTAAGAATACTTTGTATATGGAATTCTTGGTGTGAAAACTCCTTCCAATAGTGCAAATCAGCAATTCCTCTATGACCTATAGTTTAAGGGTTACTGGTTGGAGGCACAAATAAGTTAAGTGACTTACTCAGGGCCATACATCTAGTGTGTGTTAGAAGCACAAATAGAACCTAAGACTTCCTGAATTCATTATCAGTCCCCTGTCTATTAGGAGATTCTCCCTCGTTACCCTCTGGAGATAGAAAATGAAAAGTCACATAGTTTCTACTCTCAAATAGCTTAGAATCCAGTGACCATGTCACTCTCCTTCCCCAATAAACTCCTTTGGCTCCTTATCATCGTCAGAATCAACTATAAATTCTGTTTGGCCTTCAGAGCTCTTCATAAGCTGGCCCCCTCCTACCTTTCCAATCTATTCTGTCTCCTCCTGCCTTCCACTTATTCTGTGACCCAGCAACACTGGCCTCTTGGCTGTTCCTTGCACAAGATACTCCATCTCCCTACTCTGGAAATTTTCACTGTCTATTTCCCCAAGCCTGGAACTCTCTTCCCCTCATCTCTGCCTCCAAGCTTCCCTGGCTTCCTTTAAGTCTCAGTTCGTTTCACCTTTTACAAGAAGCATTTCATGAATCCCCCTTAATGCTAATGCCTCCCCTCTGTCCATTATCCCTAATTTATATTGTGTGTGTCCTGTTGGTACACAGCTGTGGGCATGTTGTCTCCTCCATTAGACTCTGAGCTCCTTGAGGACAGAGAATGTCTTATGCTTTTCTTTGTGTCCCAGGGCTTAGTAAAGTGCATGGCAAAGACTAGGTGCTCAATGAAAGCTTGCTGACTGACTATCTAACGGGCCTAAACATGATGGCAGTATTAGAATTATTAAATACCTGAAGATTCCTCCCTCCAATATTCCCCATTTTGTTTGTTGGACCCCCTTCCTTCCTTGCAGTATCACAGATGTTCAGTGTGTCCCATGGTGTTTCTAGACCTTCCACTGCAGCATGCCACCCAGATCTGCTACATAATAGCAGGGGCCCATGTTCAGGACCTTTCCTCATGCCCTTCAGACCTTCTGCTTACTTACCTGAAAAACAAACCCATATTATTTTTTTCCGTGGATACTAAATGATTATTGCTTTAGCTCACCTGAAGCAATCTTCATGTTAACTTGGGCTTTTTGGAGACAATGCCTTAAGTGAAAGAAGGTAACAAATGCTGGAAATTCAGAAACCCTGAGAAGACATGATCTTAGCAAAGAAAAGAATTGGAAGATGAACATGGGAAGTTAATGTGGACAAATCCCTTAATCTACAAAAAAATAGCTGATCACATCCTACGTGAAAGACAGTATATTGGGTGACATAGGGAATACATATGTTAACGGTTTCATTGTAAGACCCAGTCCTTGCCTTCAGGGAGCTTGAAATCTACTTGAGGTTAGATACATATAGAGAAAATTACAAATGGAACAAGGCAAGAAATGATTAGTGCAATGAGTAATTATTATAGACCATGTCTGACTCAGACAAATCTCATAGTTTGGATTCAAGACTGAAATGAAATAAGATACTAATAGACCACTTAGTTCACAAAAGAAGATTTATTTAACTAACATAAGGGATGGATATTTAGCAAAGATGCAGGCACTAGCTCAGGTAGATGTGGGTCCTTCTTGTTTCTATACAGAAACAGGATGGGTCAGCATCATGGGTTGTGGTGACTTGTGGCCTTGAGACATCCAACAAGGTTCGGGGACACTGATTCCTCATGGGCTGATTATTGCATACACTTAGTCAACCACAAAGCCATGTCAATAGCTTGAGCCCTAGACCTCTGGGCTTCAAGTGTCAGAGGTCAACTTCTTTCCCTCGTGGGGGCTGGGGAAAGAGAAGAAGAACTATCTTAGCTTAAAATAGGAGAGTTATCCACTTGTCAATGGACAAGGCATTGTAGATCTTTGAGCATAAGGATGTGAGAAGATAAAAGCGCTGTTTGGGAAGTAACGGTAATAGCAATATTGTTTTAAGAGCAATTTTGAGCAAATAAGTCATTTTGACTATTATAAATATCCAAATTAACTATAAAGGACATATGAAGAAAGGTGCTATCTGCATCCAGAGAAAGAACTGATAAATAGATGTATAGAGTAATTATACATACACACATATATAAATATAAATATATACACACATATATAAAATATAAATATATAAATATATATATATAATTTGCATCTAATAGTAGTCATTTCTAGGGTGGGATGGAGGGAGAGAAGGAAGAAAAAAGGAAAAAAGAAAAATGATAACTTTATTATATTTAAAATCAATACCAAATTGTACATAATAGACTTGCAGTTTCATGTGCAATCATGTTTTTTATTATACTATATTAGGGAAATGCTTGTTTTATTCCATAAACTAAAAATAAAATAAGTAAGTGTGAAAAAATAAAAATGTATTATAAAAAGTATTGATATAAAGTCAGGAAAAGAAGAAGGAGAAGAAGGAGCCATTTCTCTGGATTCTTCCTGCCTGTTAGAGCTGTCCTCTACCCACAACCAACACTAAGTCATTCCTACTCCCAATGTGGGGTCCTTCATGCCTAATTGATGAGAGCTCCCCATATCTAATAGGTCTCACACCTTCAATACTGTTCTCTAGCCACCTTCCCAACAGCCCAATCAATGGTCTCTCCCTGCTGTCATTCTATATGTCTGTAAAGGAATCAAGTCAGCACTACCGTTCCTGGGAAGGATGTCATTCAATCACCCTATGACTGTACAATGCCTGTGACTTTCCAGACAAAATCATCCATTCTTGCTAATATGAATTCTCTTGATCTATTGGAATGTAAGTTTCTTGATGACAAGGGTTGCCTTGCTTTTTATGTTTGTATTCCCAGTGCTTAACACGGTGTCTGGCTCATAGGAAGCACTTAGTAATGTTTTCCATTCATTCATTCATTTATCTGGCAATAGTGTACACAGCACTTTTGAAGCAGAGTGATATGATGAGTCTCAAAGCTTGGAGAAAAGTAAGTAATTTTTTTCAGTTGAATAGGCAATAATAATAATAACATATTTATGTGATACTTTAGACTTTTCAAGTGAATTTAGAACCTGTTTTCATTTTTAATACTCATGACTTCTTTTTAAGATAGGTATGAAAAGTATTATTAGCTCCATTTGAATGATGAGGGGGGGGAAATGGAAGGCACAATTACAGTGATTTGCTCTAAAATCATCAGTACCTGGACCAGAATCTCATTCTCTTCTGATTCCTAGTATAAGGACCTTTCCACTCCTATGACTAGCCTACTATCTGATCCATTGCCTATACAAGGAGTAAGGTACTCCACAAGGCCCCAGAGAAGGTGCCAGGACTTACTCTCTCAAAGAAGAGGTCTTTGCAGTCCCTTACTATACCTGCAATGGAAGCCAACACTTCCAAGGACTTCTCTTTAGCTTTTAGAGGGATCCAGTAAGCCTAGAAACTGTGGCTTGATGCATGCACAGATTTTTTAAAATTGATTTAAACAAGGTAGTAGTTAGATCATAAAATTATAGGTTCCTAGGTCACCTTGACCACCATCTCCCATTCAGCCTTGGAGAAGAGATCCCAGAGAACTCAGGAGCCACAGTCCATGAGACCTCAAGAGCACCAGTCCTGCTTCTAGCCTGTCCTTTATAGTCATCTTCCAGGAGAGTAATTCTTGTGGGTATGAGACCTAGCTATAGTTTTATAAGTCCCAGAAAAGAAAGTTTTTGGCACTCTTAAATGGTTCAACATCAGAAACAGATGTAGTTTTAATGATGAAAATTATATTAATTCATTAGTGAAAATGCATTACCATATGTTTTGCTGCTGCACCCAACCTAAGGAAGATTGGCCTTTCCACCTCCCTGAAAATCTGAAGCTGAAATCTCCTATATGTTGCTCCACCTACTAGAATGTGAATTTTTTGAATCTAGTCATTAATGTTTCTCTTTTCTCTTTGTATGCAAATCTTATCTAATAAGTACTTTTTCATTCATTCCTTTAGTCAATGATGCTGGAATTGATATTCTGCCTTCAGCCTGAAGTAGAGAATATAACTAATTTCTCAATAACTTCTATATTAATCTGACACTTTCTGAATCAGTAACCATAGGTAGAAAATCAATTCAATATAAAAATGACATTTAAGTGGGAATGACACTTGAGACTATCACCAGCCATCAACAATCCAGTATTTATTAGTTTATTAGACCAGTCCTAGCAGAGAGAAATTATTGCTTGAGATAATGTCTGTCACACAAATGCAGTAAAGTTTTGAAGGTGGGTGGGGGGAACATTCAACATCAAATCTGAGGGGCAATCATAAAGTCAGGATACTTTATTTGGAGAAATAGAGAGCACTGCTTTTCTTTCCCAGGGGTGTCTGAAGGAAGAAGAATGCTGCAATTGAGGTGTCCCCAAATCAATTCCTCCTCCTTCCCAGTCTTCCTTAGCTTTATCCTTATTTGCATGAATCCTCTCTAAATAACTTCATGAGGCCCAGGCTTTTCTACATTTTCAATGACTTGTTTCTTCCCACAATGCCATCGCTACTCTTTCTTCCCCTTCTTCATAGCCAGTCTAAGATTTATGAGGATGTGATATTTCATAGTCTACTGAAGAGTCAGACATATTTATTATTCTCTCTCTTCCTCTGTGCCTTTCAGCAATGCCTTTTTCAGAGCTCAATGTGATCACTACTGGCAAGGAACAACATCAAGGTTTCTACAAAAAGGGCTCATGCAATGCATCAACAATGAAAAATCAGATTTTCAATAACAACCAAATGCTTCCTGGGCAACCAACAGTCCCTGACATCTGCCAGAGGCATGTTTATAATTGTTTTCTACTCACTCATCATGTAGAGAAAAGATTCATTTCATTATACTACTTTTTGTTTTGTTTTTACTCTGAATGCATAGTATTTTGATACCAAGTCTTCCAAAATCCATATACATCATAGGTAGTGTAGGAAGGGGCACAGGAGGGCTGATCAAGAGCATTCTCTGGTCAGCTTGATGAATTTCAAGAGTGATAAGCATATCTGCTTATTGGTTCATATATTTGAGGGCCGGGGGGGGGACTCAGAGGCAGGTCCCAATGTAGCTAAATAAGTCAAAATTGATAGTCACTAATAAGTATCAGACCTTGGTTGATCTATAGGTATATGTTTGAGTGTTTCTGAGGCCTTCTTTACATCTAGAAATAGACAAAGTAAATGGAGAAGATAGATGGATGGATAGGTAGACACAGAGTGAGTGAGAGAGAGAGAGAGAGAGAGAGATACACATCACTTTGAGTAGGCATGGCTATTATTAAGTGCACCATGATGCTAGGTATGGAAGATATAAAGAAGTTTTAGACATCCCCTGTCTTCTAGGAATTTATGATATAGCTGGGAAGGTAAAATATGAATAGAAATTACTATAGTATAAGTTAATTTTGCAAAGTTTCACTTAAGTGGCTCAGGCAATAAGTCCCCAAGGAGGTTAGGAGAAACAAACATCTGTTTTGGCTGAGATCATTAGGAAGGACAGGATTTTAGGTTTATAGGTACATAGAATTTACGCTGATAGCCCAGTGGCCCAGTAGGGTTCAGCACCTAGGGTCAGGAAGTCCTTAGTTCAAATTTGACCTCAGACAATAGCTGTATGACCCTGGGTAAGTCACGTAACCTCTGCCTGCCTCAGTTTTCTCATCTGTAAAGTATGGATGATAATAGTACCTCCCACTGCTATTGTGCAAATAAAATGAAATAATATTTGCAAAACACTTCACAAAATCTTAAAGACTATATAAAGGCTAACTATTATTACAGAATTTCAGTAAAACTCCTTGTTTTATAGATGAGGAAACTGTAGCTCAGACCAGTGAAGTAACTCATGTAAGATCCCACAACTAATAAGAGGTAAAATTGGAATTCAAATCCAGATCTTCTGTGGCCAGTTCCAAGGGGAGAGCGACCATGCTTAATGGTAAAATTTAGATAGTAGAAATGGAGCATGAGCATTACAGGGTGAGAGAAGGGAATGAGCAAAAGCAGAGCCACTCTTCACATATTTGTGAATGGACAAAGAGTGGCTAACCAATGCCTGAGGTCTTTACAAATCACAGAGATTGGAGGTTGAAGTCGTGTTGCCTACTCAAAATAATGACACATTTATATGGATGTTGCACCTATCCCTGAAACCCGAAAGCAAATGGGAGACTTTCCTGTCTCCTCCTCAACCCAAGTTATTATTCAGATTGTCTTTGAGTGACTTCAGTACCCAAATGGGAATTTCCTGGTACTCGTAGACATTCAAGGAAAGTGACCTGAGCCAGAAATGCTGACTGGGTGAAGACTTTCCAGCACAGTGAGTTTGAATTGATTTATGGAACCATCCCACAAAGCATGATGAGAGTTGCCATTTCTGGTTCTGACAGACCATGTGGCAGCTTTGGGGCCTGCTTCCAGACATGTGTTACTCAGGGCTAAAGAGTTTAAACTCTGAGACACTAAAGAGTTCTCTCATGAGATGTGAACTCATCAGAGGTGATGAGTCAAAGGAACAACCTCTCCCTTCTGCCCCTCTCATCTTTTCTGACTATAAGCTGTCCCAAGAGGGCATCAAAAGGAAGATCACTCACTTTTGTACATCCACTCAGACAATAACTCTTCTCTCAGGAAGCTCCACCTTCTGGCAGAAAGAGGTCAGGGGAGGGAGGCAAATAAGGAAACCATTAGGTAGGCAACAAACACTTATTAAGCACTTGCCACATGCCAGGCGCGGCACTAAGCACAGAGGATAACAAAAGGTAAAAACAAGAGAAAACACAGGCCCTGCTCCCAAGGAATACAC